TATATTTAAATATATTAAATATAATAATAAATCTTGTATAAAAAAGCTAGCAACGTTCATATTGGTTCGGAAAATATTAAGGGAATGGGACCATATCTCCCGAAACGATAGTCCAATTTTTCTAAAAATTTCTATAAACATTTTCTTCTAATACCTAAATCTCACTGCAAAATTTCAGAAAATTTCACCAATCGGCACAGGAGTTATTAAGCTTCAAAATAGGTTAAGAAAATCGTGCCCCACACATATTAACATACATAGACACATATAGAAACGAAGGAAACCCCATTTCAACTTTTTTACATTTCTCGATGTTTCAAGGTCCCGAGTTCAAAAATGTAAAAATTTTGGGGATCATTTTTTGACCGTTTACCATACCTTCCCTCGTTATATTACAGCCAGGAAAGTAAAAATGATATTATTGTTACAATATTCTCTTCAAGATGCCAATGGGATGCTGAATGATATAAATTCATTTGGATAACCTCATGAAAGATTGTATTGTATGTCATTGTATTGGACATCCTCAGGGTTTCTCATTACTTTCGATAGCCTCATTACTGAGGGTTTCAACTTAATTATTATTTTATTCTCGTCAGATTTCAATTGAATATTTAGTTTATTTCGTTTCACTCCATGCATTTTTTTAGAAAATTTATAATTGCTATTTTCATATATTAAAATAATGAACTTTTATTTCCAGTTATATTTGAATGTTTTACTATTTAAAAAAATTTTTTAAATGTTCTCTAATAATAAAAATAATTTAATTTTTAAAATATCTGCATCGTTTGATTTATTTTTGGCACGAATGAATCGCTGTTTCACCATTCCTATATTTTTAAAAGTCAAATGATCTAAAGAGATTTGAATTTCATTAAGTGAACGGAACTGAATTTCATTAAGTTGTATACAATTCAAAAAAGTACAAGCTAAAAAAGATATAAATAGTATAATTTTAATTAAAAATAGCTTAAATTGTATGTAATTAATTAATTCTTAATATAAAAAATCCACTCGAAAAGATTTAAATTAAAAAATAAAAGAATTGATGTAAAATTATTGGCAAGAACCTTACTTTTTTCCATCCTCCGACAATGTCAGCAATATTAGAATAATTGAAAGGAGGAGTTTTCATTTTATTATTCACTTCGTATGTAAAATTTTCGAAACCGATTGGTGGAGATCCAACGACTCCAATGTAAGATTGAAAAGCTTTCTTGGCATCATCTTCAACTTCCTCTTTCAATAAACCTTTATCGATAAAATCACATTTATTTATTATTTAGATTAGACGTTTCGAATGAATAAATTAAATTTTCTCAAAAAACTGAAAAAAACATATTATTTTATGATTAAATTATAAATTTTACTTTGTGTATGATAAAAATGTTAAATAAAATATTATTTAGTTTTGGAATTGTTATTTGAATATAAAACACGATGTTTTTTAAAGTAGTTTAGTAGCTTGATTAATATAATTTCTTTAAAAAATGTTCGTAATAAAATGTCATTACTTATAAAAATGTTTATTGTACAAAAAATTTTATTATATTAAATATTTAAAAGACAATTATACTTTAAAATTCCACCAAAATCACTTGATATTTTCTTTATTTTACATTATAATTTGTTTCTCCCGAAGGTGATAAAAACCGGGAAATTTCCAAGTCGATTAATGGAACACATATAAATTTGATAATTAGTTTATAGTTTTTAAATTTAATTAATGGTGTCGGATAAAAGATGTCAACTTTTCTAAATTATTATTATTAAATATTAAAAAAACTTTTAAAAATCACGTGATTTCTGGTCAATACCGAAGTTCATATATAATTTAGCGGTGCCTACACCCCTAAGCTTTACTCGATTTTCATCTATCTAACTCTATTCTCGATGTTAAGGCAGGATAGACAGACAGACAGAGGACAGTGAGAATTCATAGGTTAACAGTCCAATTGAAAATTGCAGTCCAATTATTAATTTAAAGAATTGAAAATGAATTTCACCTTATAGTACTTTGTGTACTGATAAATAAATTCGATTATGAGCCTGTTAATTCTGACAAAGACTAATATTAAACAAACACATGTCCCTGTGTCTTTCGTCACGTAACCTTCGTTAATTTCATTTAATTTAATTTACAGTAGTCTTTTGTTACTAAAATAAAATTTAAAAAATAATTGGGAATGGATAAACGAATGTCAACTCGAGAAGTTATTCTCATAAGTGTTTTTATAATGGAATCAATGGAGTTCAATAGCTAGAATGACAGGAAAGAGCAAAATTGGGCACATTTTCGCTTATAATTATTTTAAATTACAGGGCTGTGGTATAGGATCTATTACACATACAGTAGAACTCCGATTATCCGAATTGATTCGTTCTGCAGGTGATTCGGATAATCAAAAATTTGAATAAATGGATTAACATGTAAAGAATAAATTACAAGCATCCTACAGAAAATAGGCGCACTGATCATACAGTCGCGTGACGTAAGAGAATTGCAATGTGACGTCAGTGAGAGAGTTTCTCTCTCTCTGACGTCACATTGCAATTCTCTTACGTCACACGACTGTAGGAGGGCAAGTGGTTCGGATAATTGAACAATTCGGTTAATCGGCCTTTGGATAATCGGAGTTCTACTGTATTATTTTACCCATAACCTCCGCTGCGTTATCTCTCTGTATATCACATCATGGAAGTACTGTAGTTTCATTTATTCGTTTACATTTTTGATTCACTGCACTGCACTGTATTTACTGCGATTTTTTTATTTTTTAAGTTGAATTTTTAATTAATATAACTATATTATTTGCGAAACGTGGCAAACAAACAATGAAGTAAAGCAATTCTTTCAATTGAATAATTATTAATAAAGGCGATTTCAAATTTATAATGGACTTTCTATGAACTTACGATTAATTTGGCCTCTGAAGTTTTTCTATTATTCAATATTTTCATTAATCCGATTACCTATTGGTTCATATATGTTTGTATCATAAAATGCATCAATCTGCAGTTCTGGGGACCGGGTTCGAATTGATTTAAGGAACTTCAGGAATGGTTCCTTTCGAATATGTCATGCCTCGTCTATATTGCAGACCCGGACGAATTCATAGTGCACTCAGTGCAAAAAAAGTTAAAAAAGATACGCAAAAGGACATCCAAATTGGTCTACCAATAGGTATCGAAGAATTTACAACTACAAGAATTATATACGTACTATTTACAACTTTACTTTTTAAAAATACTACGTTAAATATAGCTTAAATAAATCAATCCTTTTATACAAATTTAATGAATAACAACATTCTTATCCTCAGACCACATCTAAAATTGTCACTAAATCGAGTGCCAATTTCAGATGCAAACAGTTTGATGGAGCTAAATTCAGTTTTGCTGTATTTAATTAATTACTTTTTATTATGATGAAATTCAGTAAGCAAAAACATATTTGGAAATTTAGTTTCCAATGATGAAATTAGTAAAATTATGCGCTTTAATTAATAATAAACTTTTAAGCAAATTTATAAGTTATAGAAATTAAAAATCTTTTATTTATAAAATTGTTAAATAGTTTTACTTTTAAATTTCTTTACGTGTTTACAGACTATTTTATTAGGCCTATATTTGTATAATAAATATATTTTAAAAGATATTAATTAAATAAATTCTTATTGATATTAAATAAGTAAATATAATTAGTTCCTGTTGATTAAATGTAATAAACGCTTTCTTATAAATTAAATAATATTATACTTATTTTACCTGATTCTTTATTTTATAAATTTATTGTTTTTTTAGCCATAAATTAAGTTTATTTATTTAATAAAATTTCCCTAATTTATTTAATTTGTTTTTAAATTTTGATGTTAAATTATTAAATTGAACAAATTAGAAATTATTTTACATAAGTTTAATTTATAAGTTGTAAATTTAAAAAAATTTATTCCAATTTCATAAATTAAAAATAATAAATTGTTAAAGTTTAAAAATACATTTAATATTTAAGTTTCAATACGTTTTAATCCTCTTAGAAAGTTCATTCAACATTAAAAAAAATATATTTAAATTAATAACTTTGAATTATAAATGCTTTTTAAAAATTTTATTTAATTATATTAAAAATTATTTAATGATATTACAATTAAAAGAATAAAATTTTTAAAAATTAAATAAATTCATAAAATCACAATTATAATGGATAATATTGTTAATAATATTAAATGAATATTTATTAATTAAATTTTAGAAATTATTTCGTTTTCACTTTTTAAAAATTTAATTTTTATTTTTCTGAATTAAATCCGAAAATAAATGATTACAACGAATCTAATTCATTAAAAGTATTATTCTTTTAAAGAGAATCATATTTAACTTTTTAATGATAATTTAATTATTAATTTCAACTTATTTATTAGACAGAATATTTACAACTTGACAAGAAAATATTATTTTTATATTAACAACTGAATGAATTTGTGCATAATTTTTGAAGTTATTTTATATTCTTGTAAATTAAATTAAGTTACACATGCTTTACTTTTTATTTATTTACATTAAATTTATTACAATTTTACTAAATAAAAGGTAGTAAAAGTATAAATTACGAAAAGATTTGGTAGTTTTTAAATTGAATTAATTAATTAATGTAATAAATATTAAATAATGTCTTTGAAAACAAACAAGTTATACAGCTAGTCGCAATGCATTCTTTTATAGGAATGTCGGATTTCTCACAAATATTCCTTTCCTATAATCTAATAAATCAATTATATTAGAGAAGCAAAGATTTATAAGATAGAAACACTAGTAAATACTTAACTATGGCTTTCAACAAAACATTTACGTTCTGTATAAAAGTTTTGCAAAAAAATCCGCATTAGGGAAGGTCAACTGCCATTAATTTTAGTGTATTTAAGATATTAATTATAAGAAATATTATAAATTGTTCAATTACGATTAAAAGAACATAACTAAAAAATGGTACAGTCGATTCTAAATAAATTTTTAAATTAATTTTTACTTGAATGTAAAAACGAATCTTGAAAAAGACTTACAATTTTATGTTCGGCTTTCATCTGTATCGTCGGTATAAGTTGAAAAATATGATAATTAGAAAATTTCGGCACTCATTTTAAAATTTTATACCTGTCTTAAAGCCTTATTTGGCATTTAAAATATTAATACAATAAATTATCAATATTATATATTATACAATATGAGAAGTAGAAAATTTTAAGTAATGAGTACAGTCGATCCACTATAAGACGGTAGATACGTTCCGTTCTTTATGAATCAATTCACAGCCAATCACAGCCCGACACGTGTGAAGTTTACGGACTATGGCTGAGTGAAGATCTTATTGAAAATGTTCCTTCCCAACTCCGCCTCGTTGAGTTGGTTTCTTGTGTATCACGACTCGATGTAGTGAATCAGGTTCGTCGGAAAGCACACCTCCACACTCAAATTGAATATATTTACAGTTTATTTACAGTTGTACAAGTTATAAACATAGTATATGTACAGGAAGATCATGGGTGGTGAACTCACGTGCCAGATTGGCGTCTGGAAACTAATACTCTTGGGAGAGACCTCAGTCAGCTTTTGGAGTCGGCTCAACTGCACGGTCGGTCCGGTCTCAGCACTAACCCGTCCCTGAGAAGATTAACAGAGGAGAACACTCTCTCTTTACGCTCAGCGGGCTTCCCAAGTGCCTGAGAC